CCCCCTTCCTAGTGTGACGTCACATATTTTGCAATTTTTACATCTAGAAATTATTGAATTAAAACAGCAGTTCCGAAATTAGTTTTATTTCTATTTAAATTATTTAATAAATTTAACATTACAAGAAATTAACAAAAAAAAGCGATTAATTAAAGAAAACTTAATCATCCTGAACCTATAGATTTTGAAGCCACCCCTTTAAATTATTTATAACTGGCCACTAGCAGCTACTTCGTTCTCATTTGGGTTGTTAATGTCGAGAAAATTCATTGTGTTAACACCTGTTTCATCCAACCATACAGCATCATCGTCATCATTCAAACAAACAATTTCTCTGGCTCGTCTAGCAGCAATTCTTTGAGGACGAACCTTCGCGATGGGCAAAACTTCTTGTTGACTCTTATGTGATTGCTTGTGTTGATTAGTGGCCTTGTAAGATGTAAAATATAAACCATAAATGCCACATGATCGCTTAAACAAGTATGCCTCGACACTGGGACAATAGCTATCATTGTGTTTTAACACGTAGATTTTGAAAATTTTGAAATGTGACGTCACGAAATTTAGGACCCCTCCCAAATTCTTGTCACACAATGTCACACTTCGTCGACCCCCTCCCTCCCCCTTAGCGTGTGACGTAATTTATGGAGGACCCCTAATGCATAAGTGAAATCATTTTTTTGAATTAAATTTACCCACTACAGATAACCCCAAATTAATGAGGAACAATTGTTGCTGCCAACCAGGTCCCGGGTTCAATTCTCGGCGAGAGCTAATGTACGTAACTCGTCTGTGCATATGTGCCCTAGACAGGGCTATTCGAACGAACATGAGTCAGCTGGAAGGGAACGTACCTATTGCTATTTTTTTTTTAGCACACCATCAGAAAAAACTGAATCTGTTCATAATATTACAAGTTTTGTGACAAACATTATGAATCCATCTAATGCAGCTGTTACCCTCTCTCCCCCCCCTCGACGCGGCTGTAACGCTTTTTCGTAACTTCAAAAAAAAACTTCCTTATGAATTAGTTTTAACTTAATTCGAAAATAATCAACAATTAACGAGTAATATTATCAAAAAGTAAATTTTTAACATCTAACGAAACTCAGCTGCAGTTTTGATTTTATCGTAAGCAGCATATAAGCGAAGCCAACAAACTGTAGGTACATGTGTATGACCACCACCAATCCTTTTTCCCCTTGGTGGCCTTACCTCCTCCCGTCTGACACTTCATATACTCCACCCGTATATTATTCCATAGTCCATGGTTAGTACACTATATTCACTGCTAAATGAAGTGCTTTTTCATAATTTTTTGCTCATTTCTTTTTTGACGTATATGCTTATGGACATAAGGTATGAAAAGGTAACACTCATAAACGGAAAAAGTTGTTTAAATGTTCGAAATAAAGTTTATTATGAATGGCGAAATAATTAAGCAAAAAAATCACAATACCCAATTTGTTCACAAACAAATCAAAATTATAAACCTTATGGCCAAGAATAGATGACTACAATGCTTTCAAAAACGGTTTGGAGTTCGCTTTTTAAAAAATTCTGGTAAAAAATTAACCTCTCAATCTAAACTTTCTTTTAATGATTTTGTTCCCACTATTGAGCGTCTAGGTACTGTATTTTACCAGGATAAAATTTAAAATCCTGTAGCAATTAATTTCATTATTAACCTATCATTAAAATTAAATACACAACTACACCAACCTTAAGTTTTATTTATATAATTTGTTTAATTACAGTACTGAACTTACAAGCATAAACATAAAATAAAAATTAAACTAGAATACAATAGTAGAAAGAACATAGGTACTTAGTCTGATTCACTTTCACTCGATTCAAAATCACCAACGTCTATTGAAAACTTATACTCTTGATCGCATCCCAAATAGGCGTCACTCATAAAGTACAAAGTATAAGTGTGATGACCAGGACTAGGAGCTACAAAATCTAGCTTAATCCTAGCCTTTTGTTGTAATGTTAATCTTTTAATAGACAGCAAAGAATTCGATTTTGGTTCTCCTATAACCACCCACCAACCTTCCTCTCGTTTCTAAAATTAATTAGAATGTAAAAGTCAAAAGTTTCGAGCAAATAATAAATATTTTTACCTGGGGAAAGAACGGAGCAATGACCGGTCCATTGACCTCGTCTTCTCTTTCCAATTGGACAGCTACGTGAACCGATGATCCTGAATGTATACGATCTTTGTCCATTATTTCGTAAGTAAGCTCGATGTTTGGATATCGATTACAGAATCGGGCAACATCAGCCATTTGAGAGTCCGTCAGTTGTAATAGCTTTGTACGATCTTCATCCTCCAATTCCATTATGTCAAAGACAGTTTCTATGCCCTACAATAGAAACAAAGGATAAAACATTTGAAATAGGTACCTACAGCAGAATAAGAAGCTAGAGTATGAATTCAGCAAACATCCTCTGAAACTAAACAAGATGAAGGTCTTACTTGGTCATTTCAAAAAATGTAATAACAGACCTGATGCTAAATTTCGTCAATTTCAAAAATCTCGAGAATCTCACATAAAAAATACATAAATATACAACCCCAAAGTAGTCGGTTCCACAAAGAAAAAGAGTAGCCCTTATTAATAAGAAATAGAAATTAGTATTTTTCGAAACCATTACGCAGTCGGATAATGTGAAACGAGAAATAGAAGTACAAAATGTGTTAAAAAGAACTGGTTTTCCTCACATGTCTAGGAGAGCAATGTTTGCTATATTTTTGATAGTTACCTGTTCAAACCGTTATGCCAAAAAAGAGTAGAAATTTCCAGGAGAGATAATACAATCCTACAAATTGACTTACCTTATCAGTACACCTTTTAATAATATCTGGAGTAAAGTGAGGTAGTTGTTTAAGGTATGAATCTTTGCTCCACATCCCTTGTGTGACCATCTGAGCCAGTTCCATGGCAGCCACAGCAGGCGATAGCCATCCGTTTGAGCTCAACACATCCACGCATGCCTGAATCAGACGAATTGCCTTGCCAAGCACCACCTCGGTGTCTCCTTGCAATTCTGCCCCTAACTGAATGCGACACAGATGAGCTTGAAGGAGAAGGTTTGTCTTCACGTGAGGATCGTTGTATTTAGGTGGTCCCCCGGTCGCACTTGTAAGCTTGTTCGGTAACCTTTGAGCCAAACTGCGGAGCAAATTGTCTTCACGATGACGAACTGGCAAATCTTCGTATTCAGCAGCGGACGAGATAATTTCGAGCAAACCACGAATCTTTGTACGGTTGTTTAGTGATAAGCTGAACAATTCTGAAAATAATATTAATCTTCTTTAGGAACATATACCCACTTGTATATTTGAAGAAATTGGTTTATAAATCTTCATAGATTATTATTTACTCAGAGGATAAATCTTCCAATTACATTTTTCTAGGAAATACTTAGAGTACACATACCAAAATGCAAGGAAAAGCAAAAAGGAAGAAAGCCAAAAAATTACCTATTGTAGTATAATTAATGTAGTAGTATGCTGCAATCATTCCTAAATTAAGTGGCATACAGTCCATTTCATCCTCAATACTTATACACTTGGATTGTTCCAAGTCTGACAACGTGTTCTCGACAAGTTCAGACAGATGATCTGATAAATGTCTGTGCGTGACTCCCTGTAAATTATAGTAGTTTGGATTCTGCGTAAGTCGTCTGTACAAAAACGTCCAGGTCAAATAGTCTACGGCGTCCTGTTTATTTTCTATAGTTTTCGTTACAATTTCCGCGTTAAAATGGTCATGAAGTCGATGGTCCAAGTGGCTCTAAAAGGAAATTAAGTATCACACAATACAAATAGGGAATTGTTTAAAGGAGTAGTCCCGCTCCCTTCAAGCTAAAAAATTTCGTCTGTGCCACGATGAGGGCACCCTTTATTAACCGTCTCTTTGAAAGGAAAAGTGAACGCAATTTTTCAGTTAGCCGCATATAAAGTGACATGGTTAACAACTAAAATCTCTAAATCATACATTAAATTTTCAGAAGCGGCTGGTATAGAGGTAGTGCAGAACTGCAGAATTGTCAATAACACATTTTTATGCATTTCTGTTATTTAGTTTTATAAAATATATTAATAGTCAAATAGAAATCAGCATATAAAATAAAATTTGATGACTTGATTTTTTTTTTATTTGTTAGGCCATAACGCGATAAATACCACATCTATTTACTGTTATCGATCAGGTCAAAAAAAGTTGTTTTGTATTTTACAAGAAAATTATGGATAGAATATGGATTTCATAGGCCCCAATATGTATACCAAATCTCAACAAAACAAAACTTCATAAGAATGTTTTCGCGAGACTACTACCTAAAGGGTTTTAGCTTTAGCGATTAAAATCTGACAGAATTAAGATTCGGGCTGATGGACTATTGTCGAGATGAACGATTAGGTCCAGATATTTCGTAGATCACCACGACTGTCATCTCCATTGAAGATCGTCAGTCCAAACCTTAATTCTACTACAACATTAGTTGGTAGTCACCCACCTCAACTGGCAATGAATCGTTAAGAAACTTCTTAAAGAAATCTTTCTTAGAACTCTGACACATCAAAACACACTTGGCATCATCGTCTTCTAAAGGCCTGTTCGCTCTTCCGACCATTTGTATTACGTCAGTGATTGGATAATCTTCATAGGCGTGAACTTTGCCATTATAAAACTGCGTATCCATTGCGATAACGAGATGAGCGAAAATATTAACAGCCCAACAGAGATCTCGAGTAATCACAGCTATCTGTACAGCACCCGAATCAAAGAGCTGTTCTACCAAACGGTGATCACTGGCAGAAAGACCTTCGTGCATGTAGGCTACACCTTGAGATAGGGTCTCTTTGAGAGTCTACAATTTTAATTTTATTTCCGATTATTTATTGGGCTAGTTAAAAATTCACATGAAAAGAATTAAAACGAAACATAGCGGAATGAACAATTGAGAACAAACAAAACACAAATAGTTGGGTGTACACTATTTTTAAGAAAAAAGTTCTCTGACTTTTACTTGTCATTACTACTATATCCCTAACCCATTTTTCTGTGACCATGTTGTAAAAGACCATCAATTTGGCACAATTTGATCTGACTGTAACTTTTCTTGAAGTTTTTGATACTATCTTATTTTAGTGGATGCTACATTTTATGAAAAAAAGTTAAAAATTCGGCTGAGGGTTTTTCATGTTATTTTTGCATGTTTTGAACTTCCGAGTGAGATGCCACCGCCTGATTTATAGTATAGCTTAGTTTGAATGACTTAAAACACACCTTACTACATTGGGTAGCAAATCCAACCAGATTATCAGGAAAGGCGAAGGGGTAACTATACCCTCCCTACCTCATGGATAAGAAAAAATCATAAAATATAGCATGAACAAACTCCAGTTGCTTCTTTAAACAACAATGGCGACATCTAACAAACCTATACGTATAACAACTCAAATCCAAAATTACACATAAAAACGTTCAAACCCCATTAAACGCGTTTCGACATGCAAGCAATTCTCATAGCTTTAGTTTAACTACGTACTACAAGCACCATCGAAAGGTCTTTTCCTACATTGTAGAGCTCAAGATGTGGATGGGGTCTATTATGGCTTAAGACAAATTGAATTATTTCTGTACGATATATTAATAGAAAATAAATTCTGAATAATACGAGGGTGGATTGATAAGTTTCCGGCCTGACCAAGAAAAACAAGGTTTTTAAAAATTTTTTTTTTTTATTTCTCAACATAATCTCCTCCAAGGCTGATACATTTCTCATAGCGGTGTTCCAGTCTATTAATGCCATCTCTATAGACTGATTCGTCAAGCTCCTCAAAATAACCANCTAGCAAGGAGATCGGGCTGAAACTATAGCTACAAGCTATCCAAGGATGGTACTATAGAATGTCACCTCAAGGTAGGCCTAGTGGCGTCATCTCTTGGTTAGGCCGGAAACTTATCAATCCACCCTCGTACATACAAACTGGATAATGTATTTACAGAAAACCCAAGACAGCAAGTTTACTAAGCTTTATTTTTAACTGTTAGTTTATAGAATACCGATAGAAAATAAAACAATATGAACATATAATAATAAACAATGGATTTGACTTGTCTGCCACCCCTAAATAAAATCCCCTGCTACGCCCTTAAATCCAACTAATATAAAAATCTGAGTTTTTTTGGATCAAACCATTAATTATTGAAAATACATTATTTTTTATGGGTTAAACCCTGAAACTCCTCATATTCCCAAATTGTCCTGTCCTTTTCCTATCTTTACCTAACTTTCCAAAAAGTGATACCCTTCAATAATAATTAGCATTCATTAATAGAGAACTTGCATTTATGAAGAAGCCAAAATCTATAGAAACGCGAACAAGTGAAACTTAGACGCACTTTTTCTCGATAATGAAATAGAATTAACTCACCTTATCGCTCATTCTGTCCAAGAAAGGCTTAATGTCCTCTTCTTCAGCATGGAAAAATCTATTGGGTTGTCCTTCGGCTGCGCAATACGTCAATATGTCAATGGCCATCAGTCGTGCCTGTTTTCTTGTTGGTACAAACACAATGACTGGTTTATGAGGGCTATGTCTTAATATGGCGTTATACACTGGTTTCGACATGGCAATCAAACGAGATGCATTGTGGGTTACGTTGAAACCTTGAACGTGTAATTCCAAAGGTACTGGTCTCACGCTGGGATGAAAATTAAACGTGCAATTTGCATTGCATCCCAACCATTGTGATACATCCTTGTAGTCTGCTAAAGAAGCTGACAATGCTACTATTCTTATTTGTTTTTCAATCTGAGATGAAATGTAACGCATTCGAGAACAAACAACTTCAATTACAGGACCATCTTCACCCCCTATCAAATGTAGTTCATCTGCTATGAATAAATGAATATTCTGAACGTTTTTACGCTGTTTCCAGCGTCGTGAAAGAATATCCCATTTTTCGGCTGTTGTTATTATGATTTGACCTTTGGCGAGCAATTTCAAATCAGTACCAGTTTCCCCTGTTAATAAAACGACTTTCTTTGCCAACAACTGGCCAAATTTGTTGTGCCAATCAGCGAAAATAAGTTCAGCCAAAGCGTCTTTCGGGACCATGTATACACAACGTCCATCTGGATTTTGTTGGAAGAGACGAAGAATAGAGAATTCAGCTATAGTCGTTTTCCCCGAACCAGTGGGGGCACCTATAAACACGTTATCGTCGCTGTTGTATACTGCATTGAAAACTTGAGTTTGAATGGGATTAAACTGAGGAAATTTCTCCTGATATAGGGATTCATACTTTGCGTTTCTCAAGGCGGTTATAGGTAAGGGTTGCAAATCCAGCAGTTCCGTAGGTGGCAAGTTCTTTTCTGGCAAAATTAAATGACGAAATGATACAGGAAGCTGTGTTTCGGATCCTATCCACCTATCAGATACTATTCGTAGAAAATACTGAGGAGGTAAAGGTTCGAAAACCGGCACAAAGAACTTTACATAATGCTCATCGGTAGCATACTTGGCTTTTAATAAGAAATACTCGTGATGCAAAATCACTTCAGAGTCCACATCTTCAACTAGGATCCAAAAAGCTTCCGAATGGCCGTGAAGTTTTTCGTCCCACTGAAAGTCAGGTGTAACCGTTAACTCTACTTTCAATGTCGATCTGGTGATAGGTTGGATGTGGGTCGATAATTCCAGTTTTGGAAACTGATGTACATACTTATGAATAGTTTTTCCTAATTTGGGAACACGTATTAGTTCCCCAATCTCGTTAGGACCGAGATCGTAAAGTCTTTCCCACGGGAAATTTTTCTTTTCGATTTTCTTAACGATCTCCTCGGGCATTTTCCGAAATTGCCTCAATGGAGACATCGACTGCCACATTCTGCGATCTATCATTTTGCAAAGGGCCAACGATTTATCAGCAAGCTGAGCCCATCCCCTATGTAACACGATTTCAAAAATAGCTCTCATCAATCGTGACGCGGATTGAGTGATAAAAACCATATCAGACATGAGAGCAAAACCTTCCAGTTTCAATTGGGAAATGTAGGCCTGTAACAGAACATTCACTTTCGCACTGGGTTCTTCTATACTCTCTTTAATAGGAATTGGAACGCGTTCCATCAACTTTTGAAGTTCCAGTTTCTCCTCTTCACGAACTGCGATGTTCTTGAATTCACCTGACAAAGAAAACACTCGAAAAAGTTCGATTTCGCTAAGCATCGGTTTCAAAAGTTGATTGTATGTAGACATTGTTTCGTGAGTGCAGTAGTAATGGGAAGCGATACGTCCCAACTCGGTTACTTGGAAATTTCCACTTTTACGATCATACTTAACCAATCCACTTCTGTCTAAGTGTAATGCGGCTGTATGAATTAAATCAGCTCTGTGCTGCTCAAGGAGAGGATCTTGTTTCATATGATCGTGCGAAATTCCATAAAGATTAGGTTGACGTAACATTCTAATGTATAGGTACGTGTATCCAAGCCAAGTGACGGCATCCCTTACGTTTTGAACAGTCCCCAATACTATTTCCGCATTCAGCATGTCCGGAAGTTTGGTTACCATTTGGGATTCAATAGGTAACTGTTGATTCAACAATGAAAGGTAGTACTGAAGCTCACTGTGGTTTGTTATAAGTATTCCCTCCCCTTTGGTGTCGTATTGAGGTCTACCAGCTCTGCCCAACATTTGTAGGACATCTAAAGCGCCAAGTTCAGTCCATCGACCTTTCTCCGGATTATAGATTTGTGTTCCCTTTATAATTACAGTATGTGCAGGTAAGTTAACCCCCCAAGCCAGTGTTGCCGTAGAAACTAATACTTGAATATGGCGATCAGCGAACAAATCCTCGACTAGTGTCCTATCAACACGGGTCATGCCAGCGTGATGAATTGCAAAACCATACGGTAAAAGATCTTTAAGTTCCAGATTCTTTACTTGTTCTGCTTCAGTACGAAGAACCTCCATAGAGGCGGATCCTTCTCTTAAAAATTGTCCTAACGTGTCTTTTTCTAAGCACATGTCTCGAATTGCACGGGCGGTCTTCCCAGTTTCTTTGCGAGAATGAACAAAAACAAGGACCTGGTTTCTACCAGCGTGTTCCATAGTTTTTTCGTACACAATCTCGTTCATTATCTGAAAACGTTTCAACGCTTTTTTCTCTGTCACACCAATGTACTGTTGTTCCAAAGCAACTGGTCTGAAACTGTTGTCGAAATAAAACAGCCCCGAATCAGGCTTCACTCTTAACAACAACGCAACGTCCTTATAATTGGGTAAAGTAGCCGATAATCCCACCAAACGAACATCTTCCTGGGTGGATTCAATCATTCTGATTGTTCTGGCGATCAATGCCTCTAAGACAGGGCCACGTTCGTCGTGTAGTAGATGAATTTCGTCGATAATAATGAGGCGTACGAGACTTGTGAACGTTTTTTCGCCCCCCTTTCTCGTTATTATGTCCCATTTTTCTGGAGTACAGACAATAATTTGGGTAGCTGCGATTTGTTCGCGCGACAACTGATGATCTCCTGTTAATTCTGACACAGTTATGTTGTAGCTTGCCAGTCTTTTGCCAAAATTGCCGACCATTTCTTGAACAAGTGATCTCATAGGAGCGACGTAAATTATCTTGAAATCGTCGGCATTTATCGTACCATCGGCGTTAATATGTTTACCAATTTCGCGCATCATACAGAGAAGGGCAACGTTTGTTTTACCGGCACCTGTTGGGGCGCAAAGAAGCAAATTTTCGTCCGAGTCTAATGCGCATTTACATAGTCGACTTTGTATTCTATTTAACGTTTTGAAACCATCAAAAACCGGTTGTACGTATTTCGGTAATTGATCGATTGCTATTAATTTTTCGTTTTCTGAAAACGGTTTCGGTTTTAATGCTGGAACGTGGACCTCTTCGTAGCCTATCAATAAAATTAATTATACTTATTAAAATAATCTGAAAATTAATTAGCAGTAAGCAAATAAATATTAGGTAAATAAAATCATTTATTGACTTTACTAAGCAAATATAAATACAGGGTATTTCTGAGATATTGCAACGGACCAGACAGATCCCTGCGGTCCTGCTATCGCAGTAGTGTGGCACACGGTTAAGGAGTTATAGGTGATAGGGAGCGTTGGAAGAGGATCATCGATCGACGCCACGAGACCTCCCGCACACAGTAGTAGCGTCCAAGAATGTGGACGCATTTTAAGACTACCATTTGTGAAGTGTGGGAATATTTTCTCCTGCCTGATTTCACTTCATTTTCGGACAGGGACAGTTTCTATTTCTTTGGTTTTCTTTTATTTGAATTTGAATTTACTTTTGCTTTTATAAAATCTGTGTTTGTTAATAAAATAATCAAAGCTAGTTTTTCCTTTTTGTTACTAAAGAATTCGCGACTTAAACTTGTTAGGCTTGTTACAATATGTAAGAAGCTTTGAAGGGTATTAACTAGATGTAATAGGGAATCGCATGGTGAGTAAAATAGCGTGGTTTAGGAACCAAAAAGTAAGTAAGAAAGCTTGACGAAGTAACAATCTGAAGCCGATCCTGGACGTGAATTGGAAACTTACGGTGTCAGTTGTAGATTGATTAATGAAGTAAATATCAACAGCTTACTACTAACAAAATAATTCGAAGTGGTCTGTATTCTGTCGAAACTGCCAGACGCGGATCGCGATTTCGATCTTTTTGGATCTCATCAGCGCGTCGCTTGCTGGAGCATACGTAATCCTAAAATGTAGCATCGTACTACAGGTGGCGCTCACCACGCCATTTGTGGTATTTTCTAAAGCTTACTACTACGCTACTAGACATATGTAATAATGTTTAGCCGCCGATTGCGATAAAAATTAATATTAATAACTACTTTGTTCATTACTGATAGTATGCAGTAGTGTTTAAAGTATACCTCGACATGGTATTAAAAACACAAAAGAAAGAAAAAAATATTACATTAATACGTATGTATGTATTAATGGGTAAATTAATATCCTCTGGATAGGTAATTGTAATTTTATTGAATTTCCAAGCCACCATTGAGGTATTGTCAAGATGAAGGTGCGTTACCTTCTTTTATGGGTGGTTAGCCAATACCCTTATCCTCCCATTAGAAAAAATTAATTACAACACTAAATTATTCGAAATTGAAACTCCGTGCTAAATGATAGGCTTCAAGGTGTCGCGCGAAAACGTCCGGCATTTGGCTTATTTCATTTGCAGCGGACAATTACAAAAATATAACAGAAAATTAGACTCTCTTCTTTTATTTATAAAATGTTTTCTATTAATAATTAAAACCATTTAATACTTATTAATGTAAACATAATTGAATTTCATACTTATTTATCTAAGTTTAATGCACTTTTCACGCCCCTCTTGAACGACCAAACAACACCCCACATCAATCTAAGTCCAAAGCAAATTAATTTGCTGAATTACTCAATCTCTGTACTGGAGAATTCACTCCTAGATTAGATCTAGGTGTACTAAGTTCAATAAATCTAGTAACCCTTAAACCTCTGTTGGGCACATAAAAATTTATAAAGCTCAGTAGTTTTGAGCATTCAATTATGTCATTAATAATTTTAAATAAAAAACGAAGATATATTTTCTTCTTATAACAAGGTCGCCTAATTCCAAATCTCTATACATTTCCTCTGAAGTTCTAATTTCCCCTTTTTTAATCCTTTGGAATTTAACAAATGATCTTTGTAACTATAGATGGCGCTCACTGTGCCATTTATAGTATTTTCTAAAACGCACTGTTAAGACAGCAGGTAAAAGTTGGTCTGTGTTCTGTCGGAGCTGCCTGAGACGCGCTGATGAGATCCAAAAAGATCAAAATCGCGATCCGCGTCTGGCAGTTTCCACAGAATACAGACCACTTCGAATTATTTTATTAAATGTTCTTTGTATTCGTTCAATCATTTGTATATTCGTATTTTGATATGGCGACCAGATTATACTTCCATAATCAAGTCTAGATCTGACTTGAATGCTTATAATAAAATAAAATTTGTTCCTTAAAACATAACTTATTGTCTATGAAAACTCCAAGATTTTTTATGTCATTAACTTTACTTATTTCTGTTCCCCCTAATGGATATTTGACGAATTCTGGATCTATAGAAAACCATTAATCCGCACTTATTTAAATTAAGATCTAATCTATTTGTAATACATCAATCATTTAGTTCATCCAGATCAGATGGAAGAATACTACGATCTCTGATGTTATTTATTATTTGAAGTAACTTTAGATCATCAGCATATAATAAAAATTCTGTTTTAAATTTGCAGCAAAAATAATATCGGTCCAAGAAGGAATCCTTAGGGGATTCCTGACAAAGCCTTAAATTCGTCTGAATAGAATAAAACCCAAAATTATACAAAACGTTTAGAAACCTTGGGTGTTCAAACGCTTCATGTATTACGTAACGCAATTTGGGGGGAGGGGGTCTCGTAAAACGTTACGATGCGTTAGGGATGGGAGGGGGTCTTTATTACAACACGTTACGCAACATTGTTTCTTTTTTTAAATAAAAAATTAGGTAATTAGAACTACCAAGTTGGCAACCCTTTTCGTTTACGTTTTACGGGAAATCCCTCGATTGCATTGTACGTCATTTAATGTTGTTTTCGTTGTCAGTATTCGTTAGTGTTTATGCAGAAGCACATTGCAGTAGTAGGTGTTATTACAGTGAGTTCATAGTGTTCATACTGTAATGTCCTCAAAAGAGGGAGATTTGTATCATCAGCTGCTCTTGGCCTATACAGGCTTTCATACTGACTTACTTGAAAAAAAGAAAAGTTTATAGAACATATAAATGATGTTATACGATTTGCGCAACATAACTTTTGCGACTTTTGGGTAAAATGATCACTTGAGTGTTACGTAAGGTTTAGAGAGGGGGAGGGGTGCAGAAAAACGTTACAGTGCGTTACACGGGGGGGAGGGAGAAACAAAAATTGCGTTACGTAATACTCGAACGACCCCCAAGGTGTCATCCTCAATTTCATTGTTGTATTTCATATCTGCACCTTCAAATACGTTTTTCGCGAAAACAGTGAACTTTCGGACTACCAAGCATTTACTTAATTTTCTTGTTTTATAAATCCCTATCACCCCCTAAAAGCTTGCTACAGACTTCATAAACACCTTGTACACTTTTCTTCATATTTTAGCTATATATATATAGTATATAGTAACGTTACATTATAATTTATATTACTCTTTTAATATATAAACCAACAATAATAATTACTATATTTTTCAATATTTAAGTGACTTCCACTTTTTATAATAGTTTTTAACCTACCTTTTCGCTGCTTTCTAAAGGAGCCATCAGGCAACTGACATCTTTTGTTTGCCATGAAGTGAGATCCTTGAGAAAAAACGAGATCTTCGAAATCAATTATTTGTCGAGATCCTGGCAAAGTAGCGCCACTTCCAGCCTCATTTTCGTCATTATGATCTTTTTTTCTGGACGATCGCATTGACGATTCGTCATCATCCTCATCGTCGCCTTTTCCGGTGTCCAAAAGTCTTAAAATACGCGCCAGTGCTGGATCATCTGACATACGATCCTTCAATTTTTGTCTTTCAGATTCGCTTTGCGATTTGGCCAATACCGTACAATAATAAACTACAATTAAAACATATAAAAGACTCGAAACATCTTTAAAAGAGTACAACTTACTCATTTGCCTATTTTTCTTTAAAACCTTGATGAAATCAAAACAATCATAACCCAAAAGCAATACTAATTGATTTTCACATTCTCTGTCATCACTTGCATCCCTCAATACATTTAGAACTTCCGCAGCTTTAGCTTGAGATACCATAGCATCATCGTAGATTTTAGAAAGTTGCCTTTGAAGCCAATAAGCATCAATATCAAGTGGGTGCAGCGATTTTTCTTTTTTCGATTCCTCTACACCTCCCAACTAAAAAACAAGATATTTACATTTTGTATATATAATGTATCACCAAAAAAATGCTCTCACATTTTCTGCATGAATAGCAATGTCTTCACGAGCTTCTTCACCTTCATCATCATCCAATTCTTCCCTCACTTCACCATACATGTCTTCATCATCTTCTTCTTCAGATTCTTCAAATTGAACATTAATTCCATAAGTTTCATCAATGTTTTCTTCACCAGCAACTATAGTTTTTGTTTCATCTGAACCAAAGTCTGTAATCTTTTTGCAAAGATTAACCAAAAGGGCAAATCTCTCTTCAGTGATACTTCCTAAAGTTAAAATGAATAAAAAATGTTTTCTTTCATTTTTCCACTAATAATTACAGACCTAACAAAGCTTCTGTTTCTTTTTTCTTTTCTTTGTCCTTTAGCCGATCATTTTTTAAAACAGAAAGGATCTCATCAGCTGCACCACATAAAATATCTCTTGGTTGATCACCTAGAGCTTCTTGTAGAAAACTTAATAAAACCTCATATGTTTGCCTTGTTTCTTGAGTTTTTGGTTTATAAATAATTCCAACCATTTCATCAATTCCTTCAGACAGCAGTGTTGCACCTTTCATTCTTGTAAAATCATACTGTGCCTCATCACGTTTCTGTCGTCTAGAATATGTTTATATTGCTTTACTGATGTATGTATACCAAAAAAGAAAATAGAACTTACTTTGCCTTACGTTCTTCTGCTTTAACAGGTTTTGTTTTCTGAGCTCGGTCACCCATTTTTGTGCCTAACAGTTTTCCAACAAGGGACATAACTTCTCCCGTGGCTTCATCACGACTTCGCCTCTCAATAAGACGAACATCAGCTTGTAAAACTAAGTTCGAATTCTGAAAACAAGCAGAATGAAAAGATAACTTTTATAACCTAAAATTACTTACTTAATTATTAAAAAATATTAGTAAATTCGATTTACCGCTTTGTATTCATATTGAAGTTGTCTTGCCGCAGCATCAGCCATGGCGATAAAATAATTAAAACGTTAAAATTAAGTAATATTTCATAAACGTTCCATAAACGTTTGTTTTTGCACTTGTACTTAGAACGCACTTAATTACAACTTAACTAAAACCTGTAACACGATAGGTATTTAAAACACCGCTTTATTTAATTGATAACACCGATAACTGCAAATTGTTATTTATAATAAACTGGTTACTCAAATTTAATGAACATCAACAAACATCAGCAACATTAAAAATGTAGGGTTAGGAGCATTCTGCTATGATAGTGTTTATATGAACATTAGTGTCTAGAGTATACAGCTGTATACCAAATTCATTAATTTACCTCTGAAAAGAAAGCAAAGGTACCAAAAAAAAGTAGTTTTTCTTATGTTATGAACGTTTTTAGTGTTGAGGACCTACAAAAAAATATTAGTATTGGATCGCAATTATTATTTTTTTGAAAAATACTTTAGAATTACCAGACAGCTAATTTTGAAACTTTACAATCAAATGCAAAAAGTTTGGTATTATGAACACTTTTTTTTCGACCAAATTGGTACAAATACGGATTTTAATTATAAACAAACAGATAAATATCTTTTGAGTAATAAATCGACCCTAAAAATTAGAGAAATTATAAATGAAAAGTTTTATTTGTTCATTTAACTTCATATAACTCACAGGATTATTTAATGTTTAATTAACAGTACAAAATTATTACTTGAAGCAACACTAAATTAACTTTTAATTCCATAATTTTAACTTTTAAATCTTAAAGTAAGTAACTAATTGAACGCTGAACAAAAAGTTAAAATAAATCAAAATCAAATGAAACATCTGGAGAATAGGAAACGGAAATCGCATTATCATTTTCTTTATCCACTACATTTTTCCAATCCATCTCTTCACTTTGCTCATCAGTGAAGAACGTTGTTTGCTTATTATCAGTTTTCGTTCTATTTTGGATAGTAGTCTTCTTTTGGTTTTTAGTGATCTTTATCTTTCTCTGGTTATTACTGTATGTCTTTCTTTTTTTGTTTCTCTTTTGACGCTTCTTATCATTATCATCAGGGTATGAGCCTATGTCGTAGGGCCATCTGGCAAGGAAACTGAACTTTTTCAGACGATCCAGGATATTATAAGACAAAGCCTCAATCGCTTGTCTTTTGGCAACATGAAAACGCTCAAAAAATTTTAGTTCGAAACCAGTTTTTTTCAAGGAAAACATATCTTCGTTCCCTCTGAATGGTTTTAGAAACTTGGGAGTTATCCAAGATCTGCTGACCAGTTCCGAGTCGAAAAAAGTTACATTGTAATGCGTCTAGTTAAAAAAAAAAAAAAGAAATTGTAGATAATATATTATATATTGACTCTTTCCTATCCTGAGCTAATCTTCGCATTTCCCTAGAACTAGAACAACCCATATCCTTAACTATATACGAACACTAATGTAATCTACGTCTACCTCTACCCCTCCTAACTTCCGTTTCTACTTTTAATATATCTCTGACTAGACCTACATGCCTGAGAAGGTGTCCCACCAACCTATCTCGCCTATTTCTTATTGACTTCCATAGAGTCCTCTGTTCTCCTATTTTTTCTAATACCTTTTCATTTCTAACCTTCTCTATCCTCGGTATCCTCATCATTCGCTTGTAGCATCACATTTCGAACCCTTTTAACCTTTTCTTTTCCATCGCGCCCACTGTCCATGTTTCGCACCCGTACAGCGCCGTGCTCAAAACACAGCTTTAACAACCTTTTTCAAATTTCTAAATTAATCGTTCACAAGCATAGAACTGACTTCTTTTTATTGAAGGCGACACGACCCTGCGCTATCCTCTGCTTTATATCCCTACTACTCCTTCCGTCCTGACTTATCTGACTTCCTAAATACCTAAAATCAGCCACTTCTTTTAATTTTTCGTCTCCTATCTTTATATTCGATCTTTCCCTACTTTTTCTTCCCTAGCATACCAGTATTTTTGTTTTACTTTTACTTATTTTCATACAGTACTGTTTAGTCAGTACCGCTTCCGTTTCATTTAAAGCTATCTCTACCTCTTCCTTGCTGGATGCTAAAACTTCTATATCAACTGCAAATCTTAGCATACTAATCTTTTGCCCCTGTAAATCTATCCCTACAGTTGTACTGTCTTTAATGATATTGATCGCATTTTCGATGTATAGATTAAAAAGTAGCTGTAACTGCCTGCTGCTCTTTATACATTAGGTTATAAGCTAGCTCATCTGTCTCCACACTACCTTCCTTCTCTAATATATCTCCTAATTCATGGCCTGCATATAGGTTCTCTAAATATTCCTTCCATCTGCCTTTTCCTCATTTTCTATCAAAATGAACCCTGCCTCGTTTCGTATATTATTACTACTGTACCTCACATCTCTAAAATTCCTTTTAATTATATTATAAGCTTCATCGGTTTTACCTATTATACTTCAAACTTTTCTTCTACTTCTTTACACATCCTATCAATCCCCTGTTCCTTAGCTGCTCTACACATTTCCCACTTTATAGCTTTATATCTTTTTTGCTTTTCTTCGTGTGTCCTGTCTTTGTATTTCCGCCTTTCTTCTATTAATCTTAAAATCTCATTTGTTATCCAGGGTTTCCTAATTTCCTTTTGTTTAGGACCTACTATATATGTAGCTGCTGACTTTAGGCACGTTTTAATGCAGTTCCAGTTTGTCTCTATGTCCCTGTCATTCATTTCCCCCACCGCCTTTAGTATTTCGTCTGTCCTTTTACCTAGCCTATCACGTTTTTCTTACATTTTAGCTTTTCTAAGCCAAGACGTCTCCTACCTTTCCTCTTTTTCAGAATTTTCAATTTAAGATTGGTCTTCGTAACTACTAAGTTATGATCGCTATCTATATCTGCTCCTGGATAACTCCTACAGTCTTTCACTTGATTTTCAAGTCTTTGCCTAACAAGTATGTAATCTAACTGATATCTCCCTAAATCACCTGGCATCTTCCACGTATAGCGCCTCCTAACGTGATGGTTGAATAAAGTATTCGCGACGGTTAAGTTATATTTATCGCAAAATTTTATCAGTCATCCCCATAATTATTGTCTACTCCAAAAGAACCTGCTATTGCACCCACTTTACCTTCACCTATTACTGCGTTGAAGTCTCCTACAACTATTAGGTTTTCCTGCCTTTTTACTAAACTTAACACGTCTTCTATATCTGCATAAACCGCTTCTACGTCTTCATCACTATAAGATGATGTAGGCATGTAGACCTGCACTAATACCATTTTTACCAGTTTCGAGTTTAACGACAACTATCCTATCCCTTTTTTGTAAATAACTTTCTACACTCTACCCTACATTCCTACACATTACAATTCCTACCCCCGAATTACCTTTCACCAATCCTGTATGTATTAATATTATATATGAGTTAACACAAAAAGATCGCGGCGTTAAGAACACGCCATTGGGAGCACGAGATACCTATAAAATCTAAAATATTAAACAAACTCAAATATATTCGGAAAATTAAACAACCACTGCTATCAATGCAAATGTTTGTATCATTAGAAAAGCTCTGCAAAATATAGTTTTGTATTAAGTACATACTGGAACATCGGAATAACTTTTTAGCCAGTAATACTGCTCAACATCAGGATCATCGTCCACCATGGCCGGCCACCATGGATATGGTGGAAGTTTTGCCCATACAATGCTGCCAGCATTGTACTCATTGAATATCATATCTTCTTCTTCGCGTGCTGATAATTTTACTTCCGGAACATCGCAAGAGTTATATTCACAATCTAATAGAGAATAAAACAGGCAAAAAGGAATTGAAATAGTTATTATGAAACCTAAACCTAATATTTGTCTTACGGTTATTATTATTCTGCCGCAAATAATTTTGTAGAAAGTAGCATACATTCTAAAATATTGTTGACTAAATAATCATTTTATGAATGTTGTAGTTTTTGAAGATATGTATAAACTGTGGAAATAAAAAATTTCTAACTCTTAAGTGGCATATTAGACGTTTTAGGAAAACTAAACGTGTAAGAGATCTGAAAGTTTCATAGTAGGTGTAGTAGATCTTTTCAAGTAAAATAATTTCAAATGTCGGCCGCTTCCGGTGATCCCGATTTTGCTATTTTAAGTGGAGTGGTATATATATGGTATAAAACGCAAAATTTAAAGGTAACTTTAATAGGCAACTTGTATGCCTACGATGAATGGTTTCTGAGATAATTGAATTTATAGAAAAAAGAATCGCAACCACATCCCAAATTATAAAAAACCATAACATCCAAAAATTACTTATAGTGTTGAAATTTCTACCAAATACAGTCGCATCTTATAGGTAATATTAAATCAAAATTAGCTTCCTAATTTATACTGGGCGCTCAGAAAAAAAATCCAAAGCTTAAAAATTTCAAACACGATTAACTTTATTTTTTCAAATAGCACCTACAAAACCATACTTTTCTTTTTTAATGCTACAAAAATGATGGAAGACGAAGCTAATGTATAACTACACATTTCATGAGGAGCAACCTACATCTCTAATTACGAACAGTAATCGAAAGTTAGACTATCTCTATCCCTCTTAACTTCGTTTTCTGTTTCTGTTTTCTCTTATGTCTTTTAACGAACCCTTTATCTTTGAGAAGGTTTCTTATCAATCTATCTCAAGTATACAGGGTGAGTCAGAACTATTGGGACAGAGAGCAACTGCAGATTATTTGGACTAAAATACGAAGATTAGACATGTCTTAATTAAATGTTGCTATGGAACTTAAAATGTTTAAGTATCCTTCAATTAATAAATATTCAATACTTGTTACATTTTATTAGAAAATAAAATGTTATGAAACTAGTAAGTTAAATATTGTGTAGTGTTATTATCAACCGCCAAAAATTACAGCAATAATTGTACTTATCTAACTTTAAAATTGTAATTAGATAAGTGTTTTTGTATGTTACCCTACTTATTACCGGCTAGTACGTTATTGTTTGGTAATAAATACTGTCTGCGATTTTAATGATCTGAAAAAACATTATATTCTGGTGGTACCATACATACTTATTGCATATACGACTTAAGCCCTTCCCCCCTCCACTTGGTGCTATCTACACTTATTAGGCATTTTTTTAATGAATTGAGTAAGTAAAAAATGAATGACCAAACTTCAAGATGAATATAAGTTTCAAAAGTACCATATAATCACCCACATTTATTAACCTAACCTAACCATAACAATTATTAAAGCAGAAAATAAGTTAAATATTTACCACTTGTATCAATGAAAATATTGTAACCTACCTTTATTCATAAAACAGTACCATTTCTCTGGTAAATCAGTGGGATCCATTACATCTGCCAAATATCTGAACTTATCACAGCTATCGCACTGGACGTAAAGTCCAACACTTCGTTCATTTTGCAACCATTCCAAACGTTCCTTTTGACTCGCATTTTCTGGAGGTGCAGGTTCATTAATCTTTTCCAACAATAAATATTGTTGAGATATTGATAATTGGGAATTTTGTGAATCATACGAGGTCTTTCCTTTTTTATTCTTCTTCGCAGGCGTTTTTGATTTCTCAAATTTCTTTACCTTTTTGTGTTGAGGTATTGATAATTGTGAATTTTGAGAATCACATGAGGCCTTTTCTTTTTTATCCTTCTTTGCAGGCGTTTTTGGTTTCTCAAATTTCTTTAACTTTTTATGTTGAGATATTGATGATTGTGTATTTTGAGAACCGCATGAGATCTTGTCGTTTTTAACCTTATTCGCAGGCGATTTTGGTTTCTCAAATTTCTTTAACTTTTCATTTCTTCTTCCTTGTAGCTCTGCTTTAAGTTTCTTTTTATCGGTTTTGTTTTTACCATTATCTGGTGCTTGTTTCTCTTTATTTCGTTTTCTGGGAACTTTCTCTTCAAGTCCATTACCAAAAAGTTTTTGGTCTGGTTTAGTCTCCTTGCGGGCTGCCTTTTTTATTTCGAATGAAGCAGATTCTTTAGGAGATTCAGCAAGTTTGTTACTAGCATCAGCTGCTGGTGGAGAGTCAGTCGGGAAATATTGTGGAGTTGCCTTCCCATTTTCGATAGGAATCAAAAAATTATTGGTTGTAACTTCAACAGGCGGTGACGTTGTTAGCGATTTCTTACAACTTAAATTTTTATGTAAGAGAGGAGGTTTAAATTTAGATTTTAAATTTTTGTACAATGGCATTTTAAAAATATCTATGTATAATTTAAAGCGTGAATTAGATATTACTTTATTATCTATCTACTTTTATGTTTAGTTTTTAACTCGACAGCCGCATCAACATAAATACTGATGCAAAATGGTAACCTAACTTTTTCTCATTTGTTTCGTCAATTGTTGGCTTGCTATTCGTTTAATAACTCAAAATGTTATAAATAAAATTACTATAATTTCAATAAGAAGAGAAGTAAAATACTAACATATCCTTTCTGAAAGTATAATATATACTATCTTTCGCCACCAAAACGAGGTAGGTGAATACATAATTATCAAAGATAATTTAAAATTGTTTTTAAAATAATTCCGGGAAATTCAAATAAGCGCACGACTAACAGATTAAACTATTTCGAGATTAAATTATTTGTAATCCATACTTATTTCTTAATATTGTTCTACATACTAAGACGGCTTTTTATAATATTCAAAGAAAACATAAGAAAAATTAGATCAACTTTTTATTACGTTTATTAAATTTATAATTGATAAAATACGGAAAACTAACAATGAAATAGTACAAAAGTTAGGTACGTTTGTGAATCTTATGTAAAATATTAGGGGTTCTTGCTACCAATTAATTCATTGTTACTGTAATTTGCACTTATAAATTTTTGTTATATAAAATTTTAATCAATTTGAAAAAAAATTATAAATGAATAAATGAAACTAAACTTTACATACACATTCCAAAAGATTTTGAAGTTACCATACAATAAACTGTACATATTCTTTGAAAAATTATTAAAAGAGAATGTAACTTGGAAATAGTTTATTAACTCATTTAACATTTTAAAAGTACAGATGGTTATTCAATAAGTATTTAACTGACAATAGAAGATTATTACTTAAACTAACTTTAAATTTACATTTAAAGGTTTTATAATTATTATTAAATTTTAAAAAAGTTAAAACAAATCAGTATCAAAAGAAATATCTGGAGAATAGGAAACAGAAGGAGCATTATCAGTTATAGCATTATCAATTTCCTCGTTTATAATATTTATCAAATTTGTCTCATTTTGTTCATCAGTGCAGAAAGTTGTTTTCTTATCATCAATATCAGTTTTCGTCTCGACAGTTGTCTTTGTTTTATTCTTTATGCGACTTGTTTTTCTCTTGTAATTATTGTTTGTGATTCTCTTTTTGTATCTTTTTTGACGCTTTTCGTTGTCATCAGGGTATGAGCCTATTTTGTAGGGCCACCTGGCAAGGAAACTGAACTTTTTCAAACGATCCATGACGTTATAGGACGAAGCCTCAATCGCTTGCCTTTTGGCAACATCAAATCGCTCAAAGAATTGTAATTCGAAGCCACTGTTTTTCAATGAAAACATGTTTTCGTTTCCTCTAAATGATTTCAGGAATTTGGGAGTTATCCAAGATCTACTGACCAGTTCTGAATCGAAAAAGGTCACGTTGTAATGCGTCTAAAGTAAAAAAAAAAAACATTGTAGAAAATATTAGACACAAACTTCTTTCGTAATTAACTGCCGATTTTAAATTTGTGACAATTCAATATTACTTCCAAATCTAATGTTGGTGTTTTTTGGACCTAAACTAAAAGAGTGACACAAAAGCTCTATTTAAGCAGTGCCCACCTAATAACACTTGTCTTGAAACTGTAGGTTTCACCTATTTCAAGATAATGAAAATATAGAAGACGCAAAATTTCAGTTGGTAATGAAATCAGTATATTTGCCAAAACTTTCTTATTAAACCAATTCTGCAGCTTTTACGATTTCGAAGATACCAATGGTAAGAATTAAATTTGGGGCACACTCTGTAACACTCATATACCAACATTTTTGCATGTGCCAGTCTGTATTTATTAAAAAAAAGTAGAATTATTTTCTTATAATGCTCTAATTAGTAAAATAAGACCTAGATTAGATTACTGTTCGCAAATAGTTAAGGATGTGGGATGTTCTAGTTTTAGGGAAATGCTTTAGCTCAGAATAGGAAAAAGTGGAGGTACGTGTCCAACCAGTATTAGGACTGACGATCTTATGATGATGAACGATTTATTCGGAATAAACGAGATTTGAAATGACCGCAATTCGAATAATCGGCATATGTATATGAAAACTTACATCGACGTTTACTAATGGACATGCCTTAGCGGTCAGAATTGTGGTACAATAAAAGAAAGAGATGGAACGAAGTTTCGGACAATATCCATCTCTCTCACGATAGTGCGTAAGCGTGTCATTTGTAAATGTGTGTCGTTCTGGGAAAGCAGTTAAACAGTTGAAAGAAAAAATAAACTATCCGGATGTTTCCAGAAGGTTCCAGAAAGTAAACAAAAGAATATTTAAAGGAAGAGACGATCACCTAGAGAAGAAGAAATAATTGACCGTTGCAGAAGTGAATCCAGAAATAAATTGACAGTGATAAAAGTGAAATAAAAAGAGTAGTGAATAGTGATATATCAACTGTAGTGTAAATAAATAGAATAATTCATAACCTATGTTTAGTAATAATTTAATAGTGTTTTTATGTTCTTTAATCATTAGTGTAAATAAATAGTTTTTAGCACTGATCATATGCAAATGTTTGATGACTCTAAAGAAGGTATAGGTAAGTATACTACTTTAATTGTAGATACTTACTGGAAAATCGGAATAGCTTTTCACCCAATAATACTGCTCGACATCAGGATCATCGTCCACCATTGCCGGCCACCAAGGGTACGGTGGAAGTTTTGCCCATACAATGCTACCAGCATTATATTCGTTGAATATCAAATCTTCTTCTTCACGCGCAGATATTTTTACTTCCGGAATTTCGCACGAGTTATGTTCACAATCTAATACAGAATAAACATAATTTTGCAGGGTTTGGGCTTTCTACCACAGATAATTTTGTAGTTACTTTTTCTAGAATATTCTTGCTCAAAGAATTAATTCTAACAGATCTGTACTTTTTAAAGATACAAATTGTGAAAATCAAAAATTAAGAAAAATAATATTAATCAACTCCACTATACTGGTATAAAATTGGTTTTTGATGAATTTGGAACTACTACAACTCATTTTGTAGAAAATTTCGTTTCTTGTTTTGCCCAAAGAATCAATTTTACGAATTTTATGTGTTCTATTCTTTGAATTTTTCACAAGCAGAAAATTCGGATTTTTATAAATATTTATGCAGCTGTTTATAAGTAAAAAATTAATGACCAAAATAAATAAGACATAATTTTTACCTTACGGTTGTGATTGTTTTATTAAAATGTTAAAAATTGTGATAAATTGAAGTGGCGAAAAATTAGAAGTGGCTGATTTTAGGTATCTAAGGAGTCAGATAAATCAGGACGGAAGGAGTAGTAGGGATATAAAGCAGAAGATAGCGCAGGGTCGAATCGCGAACGGTTAATTTAGAAATTCTAAAAAGTTGTAAAAGGTGTAAGTTTGGAGCACGACACTTTACGGGTGCAAAACACGGACAGTGGGCGCGGCGAAAAAAAAGACTAGAAGCGTTCGAAATGTGGTGTTACAGGAGAATGATGGGGATATTCTGGATAGAAATGAAGAGTTATTAGAACGAATAAGAGAACAGAGGACTCTATGGAAGTCAATAAGAAATAGGCGAGAGAGGTTGATAGGACACCTTCTCAGACGTGAAGGTCTAGTCAGAAACATATTAGAGGCAGAAATGGAAGTTAAGAGGGGTAGAGGTAGACTTAGATTAGATTACTGTTCGCAAATAGTTAAAAATATGGGTTGTTCAATTTTTAGGGAAATGCAAAGATTAGCTCAGGATAGAAAAGAGTGGAGGTGCGTGTCCTAAGACTGGTTGGACATGCACCTCCAATCTGATTGACGACTTTATGATGATGAAATTCATTGTTGAAGTGGGTAAATTTTGTAATATCCTTTATCTATAGCTACTTATAAGAGACAGATATACGCTAGAAAAAAGTATTAAAATAGCTATAATCGGAAGAATTCAAATGTATACTGACTTGGCCTTGGCAGAACGGAAATAAACTGAATATCTTTCACTTATGTAAACGATAATATTGTTACCTTTGTTCATAAAGCAGTACCATTTCTCTGGTAAGTCAGTGGGGTCCATTACATCTGCCAAATACCTGAACTTATCACAGTCATCACATTGAACGTGAAGCCCAACATTTCGTTCATTTTGCAACCATTCCAAACGTTCCTCTTGACTCGCATTTTCTGGAGGTGCAGGTTCATTTATCTTTTCCAACAATAAATATTGCTGAGATATTGATAGTTGTGAATTTTGAGAATCGCCTGAAGTTTTTTCCTTTTTGTTCTTTTTCGCAGGTTTTATTGGTTTCTCGAATTCTCTTAACATTTTATTTCTTCTTGCTTGTAACTGCGTCTTAAGTTTCTTTTTGCCATTATCCTGTATTTGCTTTTCTTTATTTCGCTTTTTAGGAGCATTCTCTTTAAGTCTTTGGTCTTGTTTAGCTTCTTTGTTGGCCGCTTTTTTTATTTCAAATGAAGCAGATTCTTTAGGAGATTCAGCAACTTTGTTACTATCATCAGCTGCTAATGGCGAGACATTTTGTGGAATTAATACATTCTCTTCTTCGAAGGGAATCACAGCATTATTAGCTGTAACTTCAACAGGCGGCGACGTTATTAGAGATTTCTCACAATTCAAAGTTTTATTTAAGAGAGGAGGTCTAAATTTCGATTTTATCAACGATTTGGAATTTTTGTACAATGGCATTTTGAAAATATTAATGTATGATTTAAAACGTGAATTAGATTTTATTACTTTTCCACTTTTATGTTTAGCTTTTATCTCAATAAACGCGTCAATATAAATGTGGAGTAGACACAGAATGACTAACGTTGCGTTGCTGGTTTGTTTTCTCAATTGTTGTCATTGTCTTACCATTGGTTTATTTATCCGAAATGTTATAAATTAAATCAGTTTAATTTCAATAAGAATATAAGAATACCATTCAGTTATGTTCTTTCTCAACTAATATATTACATTTAAGTCAACAAATTTTATCAGGCGAGTATGTATGTACCAAAATAAAAAAGAAACTGTTTTTGTAGTAATGGCGGGAGATTTAAATCGGCGCAAGGATGATTTTGAAAAGAAATTTAATGAAGCATTTATTTAGTAATATATAAGTCTCCTACAACTATTAGGTT